TAATATCCTGTAAGTGCATTACTTTTAACCTTATTAAATAGTCATTTTATACTGCACTTAGATCTGTGCGCCGGTTTTCTATGTTTTCTTCACAGTGCTGTTACGTGGATGTTTCCCTATCCAACCAACCAGGCTGCAGGATCGGTGCATACATCTTCTCTGGATTAATTACCAGTACAACTGGAGTTCCTTTGATACTATGAATATATAGTCCATAAACAATTGGTCTAGTTGCGCAAGTTGATGACTTCTGTTTCATACTGAAAGTATTAAGGGAAATTTTACAAAAACGTTGGTAAATTATTTTGGCAGATTCTAATACAGGTAAAATTGTAGGCCCCTATGCATGAATGATGGTAAGAATAGTGAGAAATCTGTGGGATGTATTAATAAACTAAATTTCAGGGTTCAGACACAGATAATATCTCTAGAATCTCCATAGTTATCTCCAGTTATGTTTATATGAGGAAGATGCAGTATATCTACACATATGTTGAAAAAAGTGACAGCTTTTGTTTGTCTGATAAAAAGAAGAGTTTTTTTTATGAATTCCTTTGTCAATTGTTCTATTAGTAGAGTGGTATACCAAACTGAATGCCCATGTGGGCTATTGTATATTGCAAAAACTAAAACACAGCTGAGAATACGCATAGATGAGCGTATACATGACATTATTAATTAAAAGGAAAATAGTTCTTTAGGTTATCATTTAGCACAGTATCAAACACATCAAACACATCGCATGCCAGGGGCTGAAGTGAGCCCAAGGATCAGCCAAAGCTACGGATGGATCCTTCGTCTCATTAGTGAATAACCCTCTAAGTGTAAAAAACGGTTAAAAAACGGTTAAATAAAAACATTGAAATCCCCAAACAATTTTCACCGAACTCTAAAATGATGGTCTATAATGTGTTTTTAGTTGTCGTCTATGAATAATCCCAAGTTTTTTACTGTTTCACCGATGCACACAGTTTTGAGGATTGAGATGTTTGGTATCTGTTTACTGAATACAACCTCATCTATTATATTTTATAAAAAAATTGGATATTTTATTGTGTTTGTATTAATGATATTAATTAATATAAAATGATATACATTTTTTTGTCAATTGTTCTTTTAGAAGGGTAGTATACTGAATTGAATGCCCATGCGGACTATTGTATATTGAGAAAACTAAAAGACAGCTGAGGGTTCCTTAAGTTATAATTTTGCGCAGTTTTAAACATGTTTGGTATCTGTTTACGCGATACAAGCTCATCTATTATATTTTACCAAACAAATTGATATTATATATTGTTTGTATGTGCTAAAATTTATTTGAATGCATTTTTTACAGAAAATTTGGTTTGATAAACTGTTGAGCTAATATAGTGTGATGTTAAGAATTGCAACTGCCTCATTGTATTCTCCAGAGTCTCTGCTTTCAGAAAATATTTAATCTTAGGGACCTAAAATGTGCATTGAAATGGTTAAAAGCTCTAACAGGAAAAGGCAATTATAGCCTGATAAATTTCCACCCCCGTCCAAAACACATTGATATGATAGCACTTCCGGGTCAGACCAAGCTGCCTGAGCATGTGTGAGTGTGATTGACATGATAACTGCCAAAACACACTCAGGGGAATTTATCAAAACTGGAGCAGACAAAATCTGGAGAAGCAGTGCACGACAACCAATCAGCCACTTCCTTTCATTTTCAAATCTTAAACGAACAAACTGAAGAGAGAGGCTGATTGGTTGCCATGCACAGCTGCTCCATATTTTGTCTGCTCCAGTTTTGATAAATTTCCCCTGCTGTGTGATAATGCCTAAACACACTGAGAACATCCGAAACCCTGAGAGAGGACGTAAACAATGAGTAATGGGGTGAGCGCATGCAATCCAAACAGCTCCAACTCTCTTAACTCAGCTTCTCTGAACTTCCTGTCCAGTACAAGATCACAATGCACAACACAGTCCACAGCAGCTGTCCATCTACTAGCTTTGAGAAGAGAAAAGGAAGGAGGAGAGGGAGCAAATGGGAGTAGAGTGTCTTGCCTTGCTGTGCCTATGTGTTTGTAGAGACACACATAGCTTACTAGCACATACAAGAGCTCAGGAGCCCAGCTTATTCTGCAAGAAGCTAAAACTTTGAAACATCAAGGAGCAGCATCCATTTTAAGTGATTTAATCAGCATTTGAAATAGCTTAAATACATTTTGACTTTAATATCACTTTAATTACCACACTTCCCTGAATTTAGTGTGGATTTAATGCTTATTCTGCAAGTTTTACATCTGTGGCAACACATGAGGAATGATCCTAATATAGACATATGGAAAGCTGATTGATGACTGTACATGCACATTTTATTATGCTTAGAACTTTAAGCTACAAGTGCTTTATATTTGATTTCAGTTCCATGTGTGGCTTTGGTTTATCAGCTTTCTTGAGTGAAAGACTGATTTATGTTATATAGCTTCTTGTCCCATATACTGTACATCCCATATGCTCTGTTTGGACTGTCTGGCTGATTTTCAACGTTCAAGAGATATTGCGTACACTTACTTGGCTGAATCATGAAACGATGATGGGCCATTGCACACTTTGGGATTGTCTCCATGGTGGAAAATGCAGCACTGCAATCTGCCTTATATTCAACAGGATTATACCATTATTGGTGACTTTCAAATAGGACACTAATTATCAGCTGTATATACTAGAGTGCACATATAGGGAGTGGCCACACATATGTATGGTTTTGTATGTTATGTTTTATATATATATATATACAGGTGAAACTCGAATAATTAGAATATCGTGCAAAGTTCATTTATTTCACTAATGCAACTTAAAAGGTGAAACTAATATATGAGATAGACTCATTACATGCAAAGCAAGAGAATTCAAGCCGTGATTTGTCATAATTGTGATGATTATGGCTTACAGCTCATAAAAACCCCAAGAACCCCAAATCCACAACCTCAAAAAAGTAGAATATTACATGCAATCAATAAAACAAGCATTGTACATAGAACAATATCTGACCTCTGAAAAGTACAAGCATGCATATGTACTCAGTACTTGGTTTGGGCCCCTTTTGCAGCACTTACTGCAATTACTTTTGCACGATATTCTAATTATTCGAGTTTCACCTGT